CTCATTTTTAATGGATTTTGGACTCTTGCAATTAGCACAGCAGCTTAGACAACAAGCAAATCGGCTTTTAAGATGTCTCTTCAGCTCAAAGGTAATTTAATGGATATACAAACGCATTTAAAATCCCCCATTTGATTAGCAGTTTGGAATGCTTTTAGCATCCTTAGTAAAGTTACTTAACATAACCATTTTTAAACATATATAAGATATCGCATTAATTTCTGAAATATTTGCTACGTCAAGTTGCAATATGAAAATAGGAAGCTATAGATGTACAGATGTTACAGATTAAACTACAGAGGAAGAGTTCCCATTTGCGTCTGGAATTCTTCGCAATCCTGTTTCACAGGAGACGAAGGAAGATTCTATTTTGAGATTGTTACGATACCTGTTTTACCTTCTTTTGGAATCACTTACTTTAGTGCTGTATGTAACCTACCGCCGAATTCACTCAATGAGAATATACGCTCTAAATCCCTTTCAGAAGATACATTTTACTCGGGATCTTATAACGGTAAGCATTCTGATTGGGGGGGCGTAAAACTAACAGTAATGGGAAAATCCTTCACGACTTCATTGTTAATCACCCTGTTGCTATTCATGTACCAGCTGAATATATGTTTTGCCCAAACGATCCTCAAAGTGTTGTATTCCTTGGTGTACTTCTAGTACCACAACCAGCAGAGGACTAGAAGTAAAATATGGATTTACTTTTTACCATATCCCTATTTTGGTTACACTAGACACTACTAAATAAAAAAATTATGTTGCTAAAATTAAAGAATGGAGACTTTTTATAATTTACTATATAAAATCCTCCAAATTTTAACGGCCTAAAAATTGTAAAGAGACTCCATTAATAATTGACAATCTTACAAATAGCATCATGCTGCACTAGAGAAGGCTTCACGCACCGTACTGCCAAGATCAATTTGCAGATAAACTACCTTATCACATCAGAGAATATACTATTGAATGCAATAAAATTAGAAAATTGCACGGCGTTTCTAAAAATCCGAACATTAAAAGTACGCCCTATCCTATACTCAACAGACAAATTAAGAAAAATATAAATGAATCTGGAATTGCTAAATGGAAAAGTAAAATTATCAGCCTCGATACCACAGAAGCTTCCATCTGGTCATTTATCAATGCTATATTTGTAACAGGCATATCTCCCTGAATCATAAAGCTTCATTATCACATGAAGGCAATTAATAGTCTTTGCGGATCACCTAAAAAAGCAGTTTATGCCTAATGCTTCCCCCCATGACGTCAGGTTTATGCCTAATGCTTAATGCTTCATATAATACTTAACTTATAGCTAATGCTTCACCTTATGAAGCCTCTTACTTTGTTAAGACATGGTTAAATAATCCTTTGGTGAAAAACCGAACCGATTCTCTAACCTCAAACGAACTTGATAATATCATAAAAAGATTAAAAATTCGAAAATCACCAAGCTCTGATGATATCTCTAACGTTACAATAAAAAACTTGCCTAAAATATTATTGCAAAATTTTATAGCAAAATAAATACCTGTTCGAAACTTTCATATTTTTCTGAAAAATGGAAATTTGTGAAATTCAACCTGCTACCCAAACTTGATAAATATACAACCAGGCCGGATGGCTATAGGCCAATATGTCTATTATCAGGCTTAAAAATGTTTTGAAAGAATCATTCTTTGCAGAAAACTTGTATCGCCTGAATAATTCGGTTTCAAGAAAAATCTTTCTGCAACCAAGCAAGTCTTGTGGAGCTTACTGGTGCGGCTCTTCGTGATAATCAAAATATTGATTTACTCATGCTGGACGTGTATAAAATATTTTACCGCGTTTGGCATGAGAGGCTAATTTACAAATTGATACAAATAAATTATCATTATGAAATTATACTTTTAATTACAGTTTTTCTCGTAAATAGAGCATTTACTGTTATTTTTGGTAAAACACAATCGGACTTGAGAGAAATCAGGGCTGAAGTTCCACAGAGAGTTATTTTAGGCTCTATTCTGTAACTCTTTTACGTGACTCATTTACTAAATCAAAGAATAACTTATTTCATGGGCTTCTATGGTGATGAAACTCCATTGGCAGTTAAATCAGCAAATGCAAATCATGCCATCAAAAAATTTCAGAATTTAATGTCAAGTATTGAAGACAGGTGCGTGAATTGGAGAATATTCATTAATGCCCACAAATCTCAGCTTCTGATAATTCAGAAAAAGCACGTGAACACATTACCAAATAAAGGCTTGGTTCTCTGTTATGAAATCATTCCAAAAGTAAGCAAAGCCAAACAACTTGCTTTTTATTTTAACAGCAAACTAAGTTAGAAAAATTAGATTGAAAATGTTAAAAAGTAGCCGTAAAAATCATTAACTGCTTATGTTTAATTATTGGTAAATATTCCGAAGTATATTTGAGAAAGAAACGTGTAATTTACATCTCAATTAGGTGTCTAGCCCTCACTTATGCATCGCCTGCATGAACTATTCTTACCAAAAAATACTTACTCAAAATCCAACAAACATAAAATAAATATCTTCAGTTCATTACTTTGTAAGCACAACATAATCATTCCTGCAATTATAGTATATATCGTACATATTTTGTTTTCATTTAAAATTCTTGTTTGCATTTTGTGTATTTTTTTTTGTAATCGTATTATAACTTTCATTTCATAATGCAGTTCATTATGACTCTACTTTGGATTCTCAAATCTAGGAAAATTGTTCTACTACGTTTCAGACTTTAATAATTTTTATATTCTAGGAATTTTGTTTGAAGTAACCCTGAAGAAAAACGCCTTAATGGTACCATTTTTACTAAGCCGGACACATCGCGAAATCTGAGATATTCATGATGTAATGTGAATAAAAGAACGAAGGCTTCCATGGTAGCATAAGCGTAGTGGCTCGCTGATTTGAGATTTTCAATTAGAAATTATAGTCTGAAATTGATGATAAGTTCTGTTTCTTATTTGAATTTCCTTAAGTACATTTTAATTTTTATTAAGTCTCCTTTTTTCCGGTTGCGTCCCATTTCAGGCTTTCTTAGAGATTTTCTAGGAAATGATACCACTTCAGCCTCTCTTGATGCGGTGAAATAAAACGATTCTCACTTGAGCCTTTTCAGCATCAGCGGAAAATCTCAACTTGCAATCTTACGTCACGTGACTGTGATGTATGATTAAGAAGTTGTCACAATAACTTTTCACCCTTTAAACTTAATAAATGCTTAATTAAACATTAATGAAATTCCTGATTATACCTAATACAGAAAAAAAGATGGTTTTAAAATCTGAGTATAATATAGCATTTCTAACAATTCTAAATCTTAGCATTTGAAATATTGAAAGTAAAAAATCTCATCGAAACAGGAAAATAAAAACTTTTGTGGATTACACTACCATTACATTTGTATTAAAAATATAATGTTCAAAGAATCATGAAAATCGTGACTGGTACTCTTGTCACAAATTTTAATAAAATATACTTGTTATATTTTTAGACTTTAAACATGTGACTTTCATTGTAGAAAAGAATGTTAAATCATATATAGGGAAATGAATGTTTTATGACTCTCTGCCTAACACAGTTACTGTATAGTATTCAGGCAAAGAATATGTCTTTCTTTTCGGCTGAAATAGGTGTATTTTATGCACTAGAATCTCCCTACCAGCTAAAATGAAAACTTATGAAATAGTACGGTTTGATGTTCTTCATCTAGAACACATGTAGAACGGAAATTGGCACATTTGTTGCCACTTCCGAAAGCCTCAATGGAGAAAGCTTGGAAAGAGATATCAAGCATTTTTCTGCGGGTAGATCGGATAGGCCGAAATATTAGCTTCTTGCTCCAAGAGCGTAACTGTTCTCTTCGATACACGATTTGCAACAGCTATTCTATTCTAAGCCTTTTGATTTCAGAAGCTACCTTCTTAAAAAAACTCCAGCACTTTATGAGCCGATTTTCATTTCTTGGAAAGGGTTGTTTTTCCTTTTCCAGATACTTTTCCGGGGCGGGGGGGGGGACTCTTTTCTGAAAAAGCTTAATGTAAACGAGAAACTGTTAAGGACTCTGTGAATTTAAAAATTAGAAACTCTTTTTAAACACAAATTTATAAGCACCAAGATTTAATGTAGCTATGAGATTTTGAATTTTCAAACTTCAGGCGCGTTTGGCTTTGGCAAAAATTATGGTCAAGCATGATCTACGTTTAGCATTCCTAGCCTGGTACGCCAACTTAACTCAGTCGGACTCTTAAGTATATTACAAATTCATAAATGGCATAGTTATAAATAAGTGGATTAACTTGCATATAAGTGAATTATGTAACGGCATTTGAATTATTCGCTCATTCCCTCGGTATGTAGTAATCCTGAATAACATGTGCTTGGGTTTCGATTTACTTTGAACATCAGAATAAACATCACCATACATAGCGTCACTACATTAAGTAGATTTTTGCATTATTATATATATAATGGTAATTTCTAATTATTTGCCCCCTCGAAAGTCACGAAAAAAGCATTCACGAGACAAAGCAATACTCACCCTAATCGTTATATGGCAACCTAAGATGGCGCCCAAAGTAACAACGCAAGTATGAGAACTGTATATATCTGTTTTGGCTGGTGAGCAATATCGAATTCCAAGGATGCTTGAGCTACGCTATTCTGTGATTTTTAAGTGAAAAGAGATCGCTTTATACATGGAGAGAACGAGACAAAGGATTTCTGGAAAAAAGTATTTTACTCCGATAGTTCTTGCTTTTCAAATTTTACTAATTGATTGCTCTTGTATGGAATTCTTAGTGCTCCGCCATTTTGCAAATAGCTGCAGGTGTAGTCTTTCCCGCATTTAGCATAGCGAAATATTAGTCACGAATGCTTTCCAAAGTCGCCAACGAGCTCACAAATTTTCACTGGGGATGCAGATTATTAGAAAGTATCCATTTAGAAATTCAGAGAGGAAAACACAAATGATCTTACCGTTAATTTATTGAGCATCCTCGTGGTGCCGCAGGTGTAGATGTTGTCTAAAGGCAGCTTAAACACAAAAGTCTCTTCGACTTTTTCCGGTTCACAACCTAGACAGGAACAAATAAAGTATTCTTAATGAAAGGGTAATATAAAATTAACTAGGACTGATTTACCAGACTTCGTATTTAAAATCAAAACATAGAGGTTTTCGTTAATGAAAAATCCATGGTCTAGGGAAGGGAATATTTACAAGTTAAGATTGATAATTATCACAAAAATTTCACATTACAGTGTTTAGCTGTGGTTAAAATGGCCATGACTCAAAATTACCGATACATATATATGTATATATGAAAAACAAATAGAAGAAATATACTTAATTGAAAAATCTTGCGCTAAAGTTACAGCCACATAATCTGCCTACGTAGGTTTTTCTAGCTCCTTTTAATTTTTATAATTTTTATTGTTTTCAGCTATAATAATTTAATTACATTTAAAAGTAGCTCAGCTCAAAAATAATAATGATTTTAATCCAGTTTACCAATTTAGGAAATTGCTGTCTTTTCCCCAATTTAGGATTTTAAGTAATTGAGCTGCGATCTTTTTAATGGTGTTTATAAAACTCATTTTTACATTTTCATAATTGATAAAAAAGAAAAAAAAATTTGAATGAATTTTTGTACAGTTTTCCTAGGCTTATTATCTCTGTGTAAATTATGTTACTGTAATTTTTGCTTTTTCAATTTAATCCGATTTTGAATTTACTTTTATTCTTTGCTTTTAATTAATAGGATCCCGAACAACTTGTTGGGATAGTTATTGACATTATGTGATTATTAGTAATTGTATTTTGAATTTGAAAACAATATATTAACAGCGTTTGCGTCGTATGATGGCAGTAAGAACGAACCATGTGTCCGGCACTCATTAATCTTCCGAGTTTAATGTTTTAAATACTAACCCACTGAAAAGTTCTATTTGAAGCATTGGACATAGAAAGATTAGTAGTTTTTATTTGTTACTACATTTAATAATTTCTTCTCACTTTCATTAGCCGTTTAAATTTTTTTTCGCTGTCTTTAACTTTTTACTCTCAATTGACATGATAAAAGTTTACTGCCCTACACCGTTTTGCGTCTGATAGGATAATCTTTTAAAATAGTTTTAGAAAAGTTTAAAACAACTGCTTTTAAAACAATTGCTTGACAAAAAGGTGTGTAAATAGTACTTTCAAAACTCATAGCTAGCACATTGGCTACTAAGATTGTTATAATATTTAATTAATGTAAATTATAATTAAACAGTTTTAAAATTTTGGATTAAAAACATCTAAAGTAATATAATTAAACTTTCCCGTGGAAGTTAGTAAACAGCCATTGGCTAAGAGTGAAAAATTTTTGTAAATATTAAAATCAAACTGCTTTGTTTTCCAGATTAATTTTAATTATAATTGGAATTATAAATATTTTAATAATTCCAATTAAAATTATAAAATGTAATTAACACATATATGCATACATAAATACATTGTTGTAAAGAAAATTTTCCCGAATATATTAATCCCTAGAGGCCTATCTGGTCAACCAATCGAAATAAAATTCGAGATATTGTTATTTGAAAGTATGAGCTCAAGATTGTTATGATCGAAAATAATAGAGCTCTCACGTTTATACTTACGGTGAGAACATTTCGAAATTTTGGAATGGAAACACTTATATTTTTCCTGTGTAAATTGTTCAGCCCATTAAAAACCATAAATGGCGTTGGAACGAAATCTGCCGGTGTAAAACATTTGCAAAATAAAGCATTGTAAAAGATCAATGCCAACACATAAAAAAGGTGCACTGATGCACTTTGCATAATTCACAGGACAGACAGATCACCAAACCAAACACAGTACACCACTTTCAAAACATTGCTTATGGAAAACCTTTAATAACCAATTTGAGAACACTGCTTCCTCAATCAGGTGTTCAAACGCGGTAACAGGATGACACTTAAACGAGTGAAAAAACAGTTCACAGAAAAACAACGAGGTTAACTCATAAAGCTTTTTTATCCGAACAGAAAAATTGCTACAGAAGCCATGTCTGACTATAGAATTATTACATATATGTTAAAGTATTACTAAAATATAATTAATAAATCTTAAAGCGAATTCAAGTATCAAAATCAAATAAGTCTATTTCGAAGCCTTGTTGTAAGAAATTGAAATGTTCCTCAGACAATATTTTGATGAACTGAATGTACTTTAATAGTTACTAATTATTATCTTTAAATTAGTGCAGCTAGTAATGCGTAATTTGGTTTGCGATTTATTTGAATATAATACTGTTGGGATCATCAAATTCGGATTCATATTCTTTTTGGATACTAAAGAAATGCATTTAAATTATATGCTGTAATTTTAATTTTCTTTTACATAGTGATCTACTTATTCTTTCACTCACTCACTCACTATTGTTATACCAAAAGCGCCGACACGCTAATTTGTGTAATGCCACAAAAAATTCATTGTTTCACTTTTCATTCGAGTTTGTTGCTTTCGGAAAATTATATCTTTTAAATTAAATTTGTCAACTCTCCATAAAGAAACTATTTAAATGCAACAGATGCAGTTGTTAAGAATATTATAGTGTTGCTTGTGTACGGGTTCGTAAGAGATTGAATGCAAAAGTCCGATAATAGATTAATAAAGTTTATTTTTATCAAAAGAAATATTTCAGAACTCTGGAAGTTTCCACAAAAATATTCGTACAAGTCTTCACAGTATCACACAGTATAATCAGTAGTTACACTTTGAACTACTAACAACGTTAAACAGAACGCAATGCAAAGCGCATCGAAAGAGAAAGCTAATCCGATTTCACGCTAAACTCGCAATATCATAACAACAGCAGCTAACTAAACAACTTAGAGGAGATACTCTCTCTTCGGGCTTAAATAGGTTTCCACCAGCCGCGAGATCTTTCTAGTACTTTCTGGTTCTCGAAATTACTCGAAAGCAATAAGAGGGTAAAATTACGATTACAGCTAATATAGTGGTCAATACATGTTTTCAATTTCAATATAAATTACCGAGATACCCATTTACTCAATGTTAAATTCACGTGCCCCTGTATTCTTACTTTTCTAGAATAGCTTTCTGTTAAAAATTTGTCTCGCGCTACATTACACAGCAAAATACAACAATTTTAAATTATAATTCTACTAAAATTACTTATTTTAAATTCACAATTGGTAACCATAATTTTAATTTTGGATTGGATTGATTAAAATAAAAATGCATTGAATTCCCGATTCATCTAACGAAACAAATACAATAAATTTATAGAATGAAGTTCTACCTTTTTTTAGCCCCAAAGTTTATTAGTCTCGAAACACGATTTTGCGTTGTTTCACTTTTGACTCGAATCTATTGGCATTCACTAAAATACAAGATATTTATCTTTCACATTAATTCTATCTGTTAACAGACTATGTTATTTAAAATCAATAGTTGCTGTTCTTAAAAATATGCCTTTTCCCCCCATTTTTAATAAGATTCATTGAAATAAAAATGTATTTAGCTCATGAAATATCTAATTAAAATCATTAACTATTTTATATATTTAAGTTATATATTTTGTCCCTTTTGAAATATCCTGAAATATATAATTTTTGCCATGTTAGCGTAAATGTATTTTGAACTAATATCCTCTAAACTGTTCGCTATTCCACCTGGGACACCTTAATTGATAATCTGTACTGATAAACTACATTAAACTTTTAAAGAGCTCTTCTGAGCGAGCGTTAAATTTAAATCCTTTCAGATTTTAATTCTTTTTATATCATTTATTTTCCTTGTTTATATTAATTATATTTTATTTATAATTATTATTTTATTTTAAATACTACTGTTACTATGCCCAACATCACGCTATTAAATACTTCAACTATTACTACCATGTTATTCTAACTAATTTTATTTGTAAAGTAGCACAACAAATTTTAATTTACGAAACTGATAATGTTAATATTTGTTATGTTTTTGTGATTTTGAATATTAATGTTTATGTTTCAATAATGTCAGCATTGTATTTCTGTGTTTTTCGTACTGTTGAATTTGGGCCAATCGACGCGCAGTTCGTTTGAGGACAATTTCTTGCATTTTTATTATTATTAGAATATTGGGCTAAAGTGCAGAATCGCCCACTTATTTGTTTGGCGCTTTTTACAAGAATAAGAAGAATTGGATTTTTGTCAATTTTCTTTGACTTTTTAAGTGAAAATAGGTCGATGTGTACATGGATAAAGGGAGAGCACAATGCCAATTTGTGCAATTCTGGGATTTTATTTTAAGTGAAAATAGGTCGATGTGTACATGGATACCAAGTATGTGTAATTCTTAAAAAACGTGCCAAGCAGTGGGCGATTCGACACTTTTTCCAAATATTGTTTATCATTGATTTAGAAACCAGCTAATTTTCTTTTGGATTCCTCGAGACACCAACTTCCTGATGACCACGTTCCAGGAAAATGTGAAAACTACGTTTTTCCCTTCGAATTAAGTTTTAATAACAGTTTATTTCTATAGTGTGAACTGAATTTAATATCTGAATTAGCTATTTGAATATGATATTTGAATGTATTTGATAATTAATTAATGAAATACGAAAAAAAAGCAAATTACAAAAGCTAAAAGGCACGGTAGAAATGCAAGTAATTTGTCAAAAAATGATGTCTGTTTTAAAAATATTTCTCATTTCAAAGGATTTTGAGCCCTCTAACGATGGAAAAAAAAGAATCAAAACAGCAAAAATATTATTTTCTGCGCCATTTTCTTTTTAAATTATTTTATTTCCTCGGCATTGCATTAAGATCGTAAGCTGTTTGACGATTAGTAATTGGATAGAAATCCACACTTCGCGTCATCTGCATGACACAAGAAAAAAAAAGAATATTTGCGTTCAAAAGAAAAATTTTTCCTACTGTTCTCCAGAAATCGCATTTTTCTGCAGTGAATATCTAAGTCCATCATAAGACAAAAAAAGAAACATGCATAATTTTATGGTGATTGAAAACTGGTTCTTCACCACTACTTTTTTTCTCCTTTCTTTCATCACAATGATTTGCATGAAACCGTACTGCTAATGCGTGTATATATTCTGATATTGATTTTTTAAAAGAAAGTGGCGAAAATGTTTATTTGATTATAACTATTCACGGAGTTTTTTTATTTGTCGCAACTACCGGAGAATGCCACATTTTTCCTATGGCGAAAGTATTCCAGTTTCCTCTAAACAATTAAAAAAGAACTGGTGAAGGAAAGAATGTAAAAAAGGAAAGAATGTAAAAGGGAAATAAATAATCCACGATTTTATTTTGAAAGACCAGGAAAAATTACAAAATGTTTTCTGAATACATTTTGTACATAGGAGTTCGAAGCGTATTCCAGAAGTAATACTTAAGTACATCAGTTATTTTGTCACCTGGGGCTATTCCTGAGTTTTCCGTCTTTCTTGATTTAACAAACTAACAAATATAAATGAAAAAATAATAAATACTAATTCTTGGGATAAAAGGAAATAAATGGCTAAAAAATGTCGAAATGACATATGGGGAAATAAATTAAAACTCTGTTTATTTTTGACAAAAGTTTTATTCACATATTTGAAAATTATTTTCTTGTAACTTCCTTGTAAGAAGTAAAAGCTATATCCTATTGCGAAAATTTCGGATTTTAAATTTCATTGGAAATATCTGTTTTCACTATTTTTTGCGTAACATCTGTACGTATGGACAGAATAAAGGACTCTATTCTAAAACAGATCGTAAAATGGATTCAAAACAAGAGTTTATCGTGCCGTATGTACGTACGTATGTATTTCGCATAAATCAAAACGTCTAGTTGTTGGAACTGCTATAGCGTCTAGTTGTACAACTCTCTTTTTTAGAGCATACTCGGCATAAAAGGCCTCGGCTTAAAAGCCCTTACCCGGTCTTTATTTTCGTATTCGCTAAGGTCATAGACATATACTTCAAATTACAGAAGTGTTTTAAATGACAAAAACATTCATGTTTTGGCAATTTCAAATTAAAAAAACAAATTTTGGTCAAAAAACGAAACTAACTTCTACTGAGGTCTCCCGGTTTCTATATTTATATATGGGAAAGTTTTATGCTCATAATGAAAAAAATAAATGTACAATAATTTTGACTTTCGTACGACGAAAAATTGACCGTCATGTTTAATTTCAAAATTTGCAGTTGTGTCCTATTCAACTTGCCTTGACGGATCGGTTAATTAAGATAGAATAATTCGAGGAACTAAGTTTAAATGAAATGCAGCAAAAATATGAATAATAGAGTATAAAGAAATCATTTGATATTCACATAATGTTTTTCCTCAAAACTATCACTGGCATTATTGAACTGTAGTAAATTGCTCCAGTGGCTGTAACGTAGACAGTACAGAAAGAGTTATTAAATGCAGAACACAAATTTGTACTTCTTGAATACTTTCTGAAAGATTTTTATTTAGAAAAATCTCATTTTCTTAATTTTATTTAGAAAAATATCCTTCTGTGAATATCGTTATACAATCATTCCTCTTCCCCTACATTCCTAAAGTCGAAAAATTCATACACATTTATTTAAATTTAGGTTATTTTTTAATGTGTTTTATAAATTAAACAAGAACTAAGGAAAATATTTATAAAAATCAAAATTTGAACAAAAGTAGTTTCATATTATTCATAAACTAAGTAATCTGCAGGTAAATAAAAGGCTGACCTCATTCCGTTCCCCCTGAAATAATGAAATTCCTCCCCTGATTGAGAACCCCTGGTCTATACGTTAATTTTGCGTATAAATTACTTAACAGTGCTTATGTGTGTTATTCAATGAGTTATACGAGTTTTGCTTCACTAACTTACATATAAAGTACTCTTTTCTATGCAACTATTTGGAATGCGGGAAAGGATTAATTTCTTTCACATTAATTCCTATAAGAAAAATCGTTTTGCTTTTCTAATACTTCGGTTGAGTTATCATCAGAGACGAATTATGTTAGCGAACCAAGGTTTCATTGTAATAACTATACAAAACTCACTCCTTCATATTCCGTAATGCAAAATAAGTTTCTCAAAAGAAAAATAATTTTTGTAACATGTCGTAACTTACCGGGATACATTTTCAGTTTTTCGAGATAGACTTGAGCTGACGTTGAATTCACACTCACTGTCACTATCATCCACTTAGGTGAACACGTGACATTGTACTCCACTGAAAAAAAATGAAAATATTTATATATACTTAGTCACACAACATATTACATCTCATGAATATATGAATAGATTATACCTGCCGGTGTAGCAATTTTTAATACCATGTGTGCTTTCATTGGAGTATTCATATTTTATACATTGCTCTTTTATACATTTTTTTAAAAAAAATTCTATACATAAAATGAGCTTATGCTATTTTCAAAGTCTAATGATATTTTTTAATTTATATTTATAGCTAGCTAAAGCGTCCGGCTTTAGCCGCGTATTACCCAACGTGAAGAGATTTAAACTATGGGGTTGGAGGTATTTTTTTGAAATCATAGTGAATCATTCTGAAATCGAAGTATTCGCGAAAAGCTGATAGATAGCGCATTTAACTTCTGTCCTAAAGCTTCTGAACTGTTCTGAAAATTTCTACTCTGTTCTAAAGATCTAACTAACACGAGGAAGTCAAACGATTTTAGTATGACTGTAACTTGCGAAGTGATCGGTTATGTCTTTTGTAGGAAAATCCCCACCCACTTCTCGAAAAGAATCGAGAAAAACTGATCAAACAGCGCTCTTAAATTCAGATTTATAAATTCTACACACTTCTAGAAAGTTCTGCAATATTAAACGAAGTAAAACGAATATGAAACGAAGAAAGTGTAAACGAATATGGCGCCATCTAACGACTTTAGTAAGAAATCATACCGGAAACGCAACAGTTGCAAACCTGAGCTAGTCAATTTGTTCACGTGGTCTAGTTAAACTCCTTTCATATCGAACATCAGGTGGTCAAAATTCTATCAAGATCGGAATAAAACTGGAGAACACACACTAACCAACAAACGAACACCTATATATAGACACACAGAGAAAGAAAGAGAACACATACACAGAGAGATAAGCTTTTAATGAAACCATCTAGTTTACTATCTAGTTATTATCTTACTACTAACCATCTAGTTATCTAGAAACCATCAAAATTCACTTTCCCACTTAGTCGTTTATAGTAACTGATATAAATCTGTGTTTATTGCTTTTAAATCGTTTAGTTTGTTAATTAATAACACAATAAATTTGAAAGAAATATTAAATATCTTACACTTTGCTGAACGATAACACATTTAAAGTGTTACAATTTGGACAATGGCAATACACTTTTTATAAATCGCTGAGTTTATTTATGAAATTGGAAGGACAGATAAATATATTGCGTTCTCCCGAGTTGCAACACATTTCTTTTATATCGCTGAGTTTTCTGATTAAATCTTAAAAGCAAATATCTTACGCTTTGAAGAGGGACAACAAAAAGCTTTGAAAACCCTGAGCGTTTAATAAAAATTTCGTTAAATTCGCATAATATATGTATATATATATATATATGTAAGATAAAATTATATGAATCAGAATTATAATATAACTATAAACATAAATTCTTCCTCTCTATTCTAAAATCGTAATAACTTATCTGCATTGCGTCATTCAAATTAATCATGCGATCTTACGTAACCGTTAATACCAGATGCCTCTTGACAATCAATCACCGAATTGTAAACCAAAACTTTTCTCTTCGCGTGCCTCCATCTTGCATAACTACGCACTTTAGCTTTGCTCTTTACTCTGCTAAGATGTAATTTCGCTGGCTTGCTTTCTATCTTAACAATATATAAAAATGTAAATCTTGTGTGGAAAGGCACGATTAGAGTGCCAAGTGATTGTGGCCACAAATTTCAATTGGAAATAAAAATGGAATTAAAATCGCTTCTACTGCCAAGTTTTATTTACGAAGTCAACACATTAGCTTACGACGCAATCGGATTACTTCCTCTTCAATATAGGATAACTACGCATCTACAGTGTTCTGTCTTTTTTTTTTCCTTGTGTTTTTATTATAACAATTAAGCCGGCAGGATAGTTTCCTGCAGCCTGAAACCTCAATGGAAAATTTAATTCAGCTCTTCAAATCATCGTTTTGTGATAAATCCAAGATAATGTGAAAGAAGTGAATCATCACATTTGTTTTATCAGTGTTTAAAAAATAACAGATCATTCTTCTGCTGTGGTGCAAGTGCTTCAAAAAAAATAATAATAATCACGCGTAGTGTTTACAGATTGAAAGTGATCTCTCGATAAATTGAGAAGTTCGAATGCCTAGTGAAAATAAAATCATCAGTGAATTACCGTTTAGGAATTAAGCATTGCAGCGGGTTCAAGGTCGATCTGAGTTAGTGTTTGCAAGTATGTGCGACAGAAAATTATTTGCACTTCTGCTTTTTCAACAGCTCAAAATTTATTACATTCGTGTGAACCTAGCTCAGGAACTAAATTATTTAATGTGCTGCGAATTCTATAGTTTTCATTTCAACTTTGGTTAAAATTTCTGCAATTTGTTTTGAGAAAATCTGAAATTCTTGTTCATTAATGTTTCTAATTTTTTCATAATTATGTGTGAGCAATTAAGTAACGAATTTTAAGCTATTTAAATTACTCATAGGGAAGGATATTAAGATAAGTTTTTATGTTTTTTGAAATTTTGTTGAGAATTTTGAATGCGAATATTATAATTATTCTAAAAATAAAGGTGTAAAAAATAAGTGAAATTATTACAGATAAGTAATATGAAATTATGGTAAATGCATGTTAAAATTTATGGGTTATTGTGTGTTAAGTATAGTGTATGATGAGGGTGTACTGGTTCCTTCAACAGAGGCCTGTAATTACCTCTGTGCAGTTGTTCCCTTCACCCTCTTCAAGTAAGATAATGTTGGAGGCTCTCATTTTATGAGTGTTTGTAATTTTTTATATTATTATTATATTTTTTTATTATAGAATGTATTAGGGCAGTTCTCAAAGGTCAGTTACCTTAATGCAAGGAACGGAGGCCTTTTCAAGTAACTGTCTAGGCACCCTGGGCCACCAGTGCAGAGAACACACTGGTTAGCTCACGAGGACAGCCCTATTGATGGATATGTTTGTTTAGAAGTATTGCGAGGCTTCCAGTTTGGTAAAATCAGGAATTGTAAATGAAAGATGATAACGGTGAAACCATAAATTCTGAAAATCTGATGTTAAATTATAATTTATCAGTGTAGAAATAAGTATCATAAATATTTATGTGCATTACATTTCATTATAAGTAATGATTATGTAAAAGTTTATTTTGTGATATTCTGTAATAACAAGAACCTTCCCTGATGAATTATGATTATGTGAACTCTCAAACAAAAAGACTTTTGGACTGAAATGTTGAAAATTCAATAGACTCTAAAAATTAAGATCTATTTAAAAAAATTGATATTTATAAATAATACACAGGATCAATATTTATTTATATTTTTTTAATTTGCTGTGCTTTAACTCTTTTTCTTTAAAAGGCTTCTCTGTCGTTACGCATTTTTCTTTTGAAGGGGGAATATGTAAGATAAAATTATATGAATCAGAATTATAATATAACTATAAACATAAATTCTTCCTCTCTTTCTAAAATCGTAAACTTATCTGCTTGCGTCATTCAAATTACATGCGATCTTACGTAACCGTTAATACCAGATGCCTCTTGACAACCAATCACCGAATTGTAAACCAAAACTTTTCTCTTCGCGTGCTTCCATCTTTCATAACTACGCACTTCAGCTTTTGCTCTGTGCTGTGCTAAGATGTAATTTCGCTGGCTTGCTTTCTATCTTAACAATATATAAAAATGTAAATCTTGTGTGGAAAGGCACGATTAGAGTGCCAAATGATTGTGGCCACAAATATCAATTGGAAATAAAAATGGAATTAAAATCGCTTCTACTGCCAAGTTTTATTTACGAAGTCAACACATTAGCTTACGACGCAATCAGATTACTTCCTCTTCAATATAGGATAACTACGCATCTACAGTGTTCTGTCTTTTTTTCCTTTGCTCTTATTATAACATATATATATATATAAAGAGTGCGAAACCCATGTGTGGTTTTTTGAAAAATATTATGTTGGCAGTGCTCTTTCTCTTGAAGATCCAGTGTATCAAATTTCTTCAAAATCGGAATAAAAAATAGTAGATTTTCATAAAAGGGAAATACGAGGACATTCTTTATTATGTATAGAGATATACGTTTCTTTGCTTTGTATATATATGTACTGTAGGTACTACAGATACAATAAAACGAGAGATGTACAGTTACACTCATATACAAAACTAAGAAGTTGCAAATTATGTCTATTTTTATGAAAAGTGTTGAACCAAAGGTACTTATTATGCCACCGAAGAATTTCGCAAATATTCAGAGTCGAATACTTAGGCGTACACATATGTGTCTGCGGACTTGTCATCATAAAGGGGATATAATTGCACAAGGGGCTTCCGCGGTTTCTGTGCCCGTTCTCCTTCACGATCGTTGCCGTGTTTGTTGCGAGATGGGTAAATTTTATAGGATATCAGGTGAAATGAGTAGCCACGGAGGTATGGATGACGGAATAAGATGAAAAATTGTCTGTAGATTGGAGGCAGGCAAAATAAAAGAGCAGGTGGCTACAGAGCTCACTGTAACGCCAAGTGTCGTACCATTTGCGACAACATTTTCAAGGTTTCTTGAGATATGGATTTATGACAGAAGACCCGCTGTTTGAATCACTTCCGTTGCCGCACACATGAGAGCGCGTTTCGCAAAGTGCAGATAATATGCGCCTTAGACCAGACTTCATTGGAGCACCGTGCGTTTTACAGATTAATTGGGATTCGGTCTAAACACTGATTTCTCCTTCATCAAGGGAAAGGATAATTACTGTGGTGAAGGTGTAATGGTTTGGGCCGGCATTATGGTGGACGGCTTCTACATCTGCATGTGTTTGACAAAGACTGTTTAACTGTTATAAGGTATAGAGACTAGGTCTTATAGTCTTATGTTCCAATTTTCATAGGTGCAGTTGGTCCTGGGCTCCTGTTAATGGACGAAAATGTTCGTTCACATAGGGCTCAGCTGGTTGACACTTACCTAGAAATTGAGGCTATTCACCGCATGGATAGGCTAGCGGAA